GCACCTATTTCCAATGCTCCTTATAGGATGGTGCCAAAGAAGTTGCAGGAGTTGAAATCACAATTAGAAGAACTGTTGGAAAAGGGATTCATCCAACCCAGTATATCCCCATGGGGGAGACCAGTATTATTCGTCAGGAAGAAAGATGGGTTAATGCTAATGTGCATTGACTACAGAGAGTTAAATAGAATCACTATCAAGAATAAATATCCGCTTCCCAGGATTGAGGACTTGTTCGACCAATTACGTGGTGCTAGGGTATTTTCAAAGGTCGACTTGAGGTCAGGATATCATCAGTTGAGAATTAAATTTACCGATGTCCCAAAGATGGCCTTTAGAACTCGGTATGGGCACTATGGGTTCTTAGTCATGCCGTTTGGCCTAACTAATGCCCCTGGAGTGTTCATGGACTTAATGAATTGCATCTTCCATGAATACCTAGACAAGTTTGTCATTGTATTCATCGATGATATTTTGATCTATTCAAAAACTGAAGAAGAGCATGAGAAACATTTGAAGATTGTATTGGAAACTTTATAAAGGGAGAAACTTTTTGCCAAATTCAAAAAGTGTGAATTTTGGATAGAACGAGTTGTATTCCTTGGACATGTAGTTACAACCCAAGGGATAGAAGTAGATCCGGGCAAAGTAGAAGCAGTGTTGAATTGGTCGAGACCAGCCAATGTAGGAAAGGTTCGCAGCTTTTTGGGTCTGGCAGGATACTATCGGAGATTTATAGAAGGGTTCTCTAAGATATCAGGACCTTTAACTCAGTTGACTTGCAAGGGTGTGAGATTCGAATGGATGGAGAAATGTGAACACAATTTTGAAGAATTGAAGAAAAAGTTAGTTAATGCACCAGTGTTGACTATACCTAAAGGATCGGAAGGTTTCGTAATATACAGTGACGCATCCAAGCAGGGAATAGGTTGTATATTAATGCCACAAGGCAAAGTAGTAGCTTATGCATCTAGACAGCTGAAACCTCACGAACAGAATTACCCCACACATGACCTAGAACTCGCAGCGGTAGTACATGCCTTGAAGATTTGGAGGTACTACCTATACGGAGGAAAATGTGATATATATACTGATCATAAGAGCCTCAAATACATTTTCACTTAGAAAGAATTGAACATGAGGCAGAGAAGGTGGCTTGAATTGGTAAAAGATTACGACTACGAAATTCATTACCATCCAGGCAAGGCGAATGTAGTGGTCGATGCTCTAAGTAGGAAAATAACAAGTAGAGTGACAATGTTAACAACACAAAAATCTCTATGGAAGGAATTTGAGAAGTTAAATCTTGAAGTAGTCACGACTTCATCAGACACCGTCGCTCAGGTAGCAGCTCTCTCGGCTCGACCGACACTCTGCGATCAGATCAAAAACCATCAGAAGGGCGATTATTTATAAAATCCAAAGTTGGTACAGAAAATCGAAAGGGGTTAAATTATCAAGGATATTTGTGTGTACCAACCTTCGAGAATTGAGAAAAGAAATTTTAGAAAAAGCCCATACCACCCCTTAGTCAATACATCCAGGAGGTACGAAGATGTCTCATGACCTAAAAGTTGTATTTTGGTGGAGGAATATGAAGAAGGACATAGCTGCGTTCGTTGAGAAATGTCTAATATGCCAATAGGTGAAAGCTGAGCATCAACGACCATCAGGGTCGCTACAACCATTAGATATTCCAGAGTGAAAATGGGAGCATGTAACAATGGATTTTGTTGTTGGTTTTCTGAAAGCAGTAAGAGGTCAAGAGGCTATTTGGGTAATCATCGATAGGCTGACCAAGTCAGCTCACTTCTTACATGTTCGAATGACATTTTCTATGGACCAGTTTGCGCAACTATATGTTAATGAAATAGTGAGGTTACATGGCATTCCAATTTCAATTGTGTCAGACAGAGATTCAAGGTTTACATCGAACTTTAGGAAAAGTCTACATCGGGCAATGGGAACTAAGCTAAAATTTAGTACAGCTTTTCACCCCAAACAGATGAACAATCTGAGCGAACAATTCAAACAATTGAGGGTATGCTTCGAATATGTGTACTAGATTTTGGAGGACAATGGGAGAAGCATTTCCCATTAATCGAGTTCACATATAACAACAGCTATCATGCCTCTATCAGTATGGCACCGTATGAAGCCCTATACGGAAGAAAGTATAGATCGCTAATCCATTGGGATGAAGTAGGTGAACGTAAAATTTTAGGACTTGAAATCATGGAACGAACGGTTCAGGCTATCGAAAAGATTCGAGCTAACATGAAGACTGTCCAAGACAGACAAAAAAGTTATGCAGATAGAAGACGAAAGGAACTAGAATTTGTTGTTGGTAATAGTGTATTTTTAAAAGTTATACCAATGAAAGGTGTCTTAAGATTTGGAAAAAGGGAAAAACTTCGACCAAGATACATCGGACCTTTTGAGATACTCAAAAGGGTTGGAAGTGTAGCTTATCAATTGGCTTTGCCACCAGAGCTTTCTGTAGTACATGACATCTTCCACGTTTTGACACTCAAGAAGTACGTTCCTGATCCGAGTCACATATTGAAAAATCAACCCTTGAAAATTCAACGGGACTTGAGCTATGAGGAAACCCCACTTTGCATTATAGTTCAAAAGGTACAAAAGCTTTGCAACAAAGAGATACCGTTGGTTAAAGTGTTATGTCAACATCATTCAGTTGAAGAGACAACTTGGGAACGTGAGGATAAGATGCAATCTAAGCACCCTCAACTATTCGATAATATCAACTAAGGTAATTTTTGAGGACGAAAATTTATTTTAAGAGGGGTAGATTGTAACACCTCGAAAATTCATTATAGTCATTAATATTAGAAATTAGGACCTATTAGCGAAAGTTGAATATCGAAGGACCAAATTATTTTGTTTACATAATTTATGGATCAAACTGTGGGCTATTCATAGTTAATGACGTGTTTAATTAGAAAATCATTTTTTTAATGGAATAATTAAGTAGATTACCATGTATGACTAAAATATGTTTAGGTAATTAACATAATTACATGCATGCATATATGTCAAGTATGCCAAATTATAGTAGGAATAATGGTAATTACCTTAAATATGGAACAAATAAGGAAAATTTCCATTTCCACACTAGGAAAGATTCCACTCTCCAATTCATGGCAATATTTTATTAATTTTCACACCCAATCTCACGGCAATCAGTCTTCTTTCACACACAAGTCACTCCATTTGCCTCACACACAAGAAAGCAATAATTGTGGATACCATAATTATGGAGAAAAAAAAAAGGAAAGATTCCATTGTAATCCATGACAATATTTTATCATTTCCACATTGACAACTCACGTCTCTCACCTTTCTCTCACACGCAAGTCATTTGTCCTACACACAAGAAAATTCAAGGGGACTTTTGACAGTCAAGTTCTTCACACACTTATTCATCAAATTTCATTACGAGGTAAGTGATGTTGCATGTAGTTTATGTAAATTTGTATTTTGTATCTAAAATTTTGGAATTCGTTTTATGGGCCATATATGTTATGATAAGAGGGCAAGAATTTAGAAGCACTACACACATAAATTGCTACCACCTATGTTCGGAGTAGTTCGTGTGTTTCCTATACGTATGATATGAAATCCTATTTTTCTTAATTTAAATGCAAATTACTTGTTTACTGCACACACTTATTGAGATTTTCTTAAATCTCACTCCTTTAAGTTTCCCCCCTTTCCAGTTAATTAGAGATCAGAAGTTTGGAGCTGGTAATCGATCGGTGGTGGCGGAATGTTCTTATTTAAATAAAAGGGAATTTATATTCTCGGAAGAATTCCTTTTTTTTTTTTATGATTAGTCATTTTTAAGAATAAATGTTTATTTCTATTTTATTTTGAAAGACAACTTTTTTTTTTTTGTATAAATAAATGATCATTCATTATTTATTTATTTTTGTGTTTGATATATATTAGTTTCTAATTTGATAACACTTAAGCCCTTTTCAAGAAATTGGGTTGTTACGGCACTCTACACCCCTTTCTTGTGTCAAAGTTTCCACTTGCTTTCTAAACATGTTGCACACATTTTGGGTGCTCTTTTTCTTTGATATTGATGGAGTATTAGATCGATCCTTCAATGTAAGATCTGCTAACATCTCTACAAAATTTGTATAGTTTCAGGGAGTGGATTCAAGAAGTTTTATTGTGGCTTTCTTTGAGTGCTTTTCTATAAAACTGGATGATAGTATATATGGATTCAATTGTCTTGGTTTATGACTTATGAGGTATTCATGAATAAAGTACTACCCATTGATTGATTAATTATTATGTATTAATTTATGTTATCATTCTTATGAATTTGCCTTATGGTTGAACAACTCGACTATTCAAAATTGATTGACATTTTTGCCTCTAAAACAACAAGATGAGTTGTATTTAAGTAATCGTTTATATATTTTTTCATTGTTATTTGATTGTAATATAAAGATTTTGAATACTTTTTTTGTTTTATTTGTTGTTTTATTGTTGATTTTAACTTAACAAATCTAATTTCGTAAGACGCTTAAAAAAAAAAAATAAATAAATAAATTGATTGCTTCCTATGATTTAGAGCTCAAATTCTGAAATTCACCTCAGGCGCAGCGAATCAAAGGTACGGCCCTACCTTTAGAAAAAATTATGACTTGTGCACAGTGCACATAAATTATTGTGGACTAACCAGATGGTTTTCCTCTATCAAAGGAGGCTCTATCCTTCTTGTAAGATCATCGAAAGTTTGAAATAAAAATCCAGTATGTCATTTCTAAGCCTCTAAATGATTTCTACCTGTCCTCAAAGCTTCTGAAGTAACATTGATATGATGAGATAAGGGTTTAGATCATAGCAGTATTTATTTAGTATACTTTGCGGTTGCCTTTGTGAATGATCCTCTTCATCAGAACAATCATTTTGAACTATTTTGTTTGTTGGCTTTGAACTAAAAGTAAGTGGTATAACCACTCTTGGACTAATCGATTGGATTGGTTATTTTCTCCATTATTATTAATTTAAAGGAAAACGTAGTCCTTGAGGGCTTCTTGATACACAAGCACACAGAGTACAGCTTAGTAACAACTATTGAATACAAGAGCATTCCCTCTAATAATTGATAACAATCTTAACACAGTTGGGTTGCTTCAGATACTCCCATGCCTTGTTAATTTCTTCAAGTGAAACTTCATGGGTCTCCAGTTCATCCAGTTGAATTTCCTGTTCAAACGATGTTTTTTTCCAGTCCATGTACAAGAAGGCATAATCAGTGAATTTTTCGATTTAGCAGCATTAATGGACGACATAAGTCATTGAAACAAATTAAAATAGAATTAGAGTGATCCCTGTCCAAGAAATAAGTTAGATTATGAAAACAAGTTCCTTCACAAGCAAACGAGATTCATTTTCATCGAAGTCATGTACACAATTTTTTAAGTGCACGTTGGACCACCTCAACTTTGTGAAATGACATGGCCTAAATTTTTAGATAAGATGATTCAATGAGTTGAACTACTTGATTTCTAAAACTTCAATGGTTCATACCTTATTTATGCATTTCTCAACTATTATAGGGAGGTCCGATTGAGGTCTTACTCCACCATAAATGGAACCCTTCAATGTCCTACCACACAAGAGGGGAATGTATTTGAGCTCTCCACTTAAATCAAGTCCACTACCAATCAGTACTATTGTCCCAAGTCCCTGTTTAAATGCCACCATGTAAAGAAATTACTCTTATCATGAAATAATCAATACAGATACTTAAATTAGCCAGGAAAAATAAAATCCGAATTTTACCACTTTGGAACCCTCAATTGCTTCATTAAGCATGGCTGGAACCCCAGTGCACTCATAAAAGTAATCCACACCCAGTCCATCTGTAGCATCTTTAATCAATTCTGATACAGGTTTATCAGATTCTTTGGGATTAATAAATTCAGTCATTCCAAAGGCTTCTCCTTTCTTCTTCTTGAAGTTGTTTTTGTCGATCCCAATTATCCTAGATGCTCCTTGCATTCGGGCTGCTTCCATCACCTGCATTAGTTTCCAGTAAGGTTCATTGCTATTGAAAATTTAGCAATCTGTGGATGTCATCATGGCCGATGTTTAGCGAACAAAATTTAACTGGTTTTTCTTTCCTAATACTCGTCTAGTCCAGTATACGAAACATGCCACGATGATATGAATGTACTTACTCCGAGTCCAACAGCACCAACACCAATTACAGCAACAGTTGAGCCCTTTTCAATAGTGACTGCCCTCCAGGCGGATCCAAAACCTGTAGTGAAACCACAGCAAAGGAAACTTGCATGTGCAAGAGGAACCCTGGGATCTACCTTGACAGCGAAATTCGCATCGATAACAACGTATTCCGACCATGTACCACAGCTAAAATGGTGATATATAATCTGATCTCCAATGTGCATTCTTGATGTTCCATCTGGCATTAGGCCTGTGAAATTGAAGGGATATTTGTGGCATAAATTTGTCTTTCCAGATTTGCAATTCAGACATTCCCCACATTCTCCCAGATAGAGTGGCATCACTCTATCTCCTTCCTTCAGGTTTGACACTCCTCCTCCCACACTCTCTATCATTCTGTATTTGAAATTTGTGCAAGTATTATATGGAAATGCTTGATCATCAAGTTTTATTTTAGTCTAGAAATAATAATAGAATTTACCAGATCAAGATTAGTTCAGTCGAATCTCAGTATTAAATTTGCTTCTGGGTTAATATCATAAAGCATGCGAGAGTCGAGAGACTTACCCAACTCCTTCATGTCCAGGAATCCGGGGAAACAGGGGCTGCAAAAACAGGACGCAGAAAAAAAAAATCATAACACCCAAACTCAGCAATTTCAGTAGACTGTAAATAAAAATTTTCAAAAACCCAACAAGTAAAACTGAATTCCTTACAACTGGGTGTCCATTGCAACAGAGAAAATCAGTGTGACACAAACTTGCACAAAGCATTTTGATTCTAACTTCAGAGGATTTGGGAGGATCCACTTGTATTTCCTCCACTTTCAATGGCTCTCCTGCTTTCCATACGACTGCAGCTTTGCATTTAATTACTTCTGGATTTCTGTTAGTCATGGTGGTATCTGGGTTAGAATTGGGAGAATATCGTCAACCAAGGTTCTGTATAAACTCATTTATGCACATACGTGAATGTGTATATATATAGGTGTAGATAAAGAGAGGATGGGTGTTTATTGACTTCTTGTTAACGTGGATTTGTTCATTCTTGTTGTGAAATGAATTCTTTACCACAATCTTAATAATCCTTCTTATGTTTGTGAAGCTTATGGATTGGCCACATATTTGAAATGGTCACGTCAAACACTCTATTCAACACATAAATCTAACTTACTAATTATTCACCATGGTGCATTTTTTAACATTAAAAGAAAAAAATACCCTTCATTTCAAAATTAAAAAGCATGATTTCTTCCCCCGCCCCCGGACCCCCAGACCATATTAACGAATGACAGATTTGTTGTGATTTCTTCACAATTTTGAATTTCTTCAGCATTATAAAAGAATTTTTTTTTTTTAAATCTATGAATATTAAAGCTAAAAGTACATTATCCATCAATGTTATAAGCAAAAAAATTCAAATTTAACCAAATAAAATGAAGAAACCTTGAATATGGAGACGGATGAAAAAACCTTGAACAATGGGGATGGAGATGGAGAAGATGAAGAAACATTGAAGAACTGGAAATGGTAGGAAAGATTTTCAAATTTATAACATTCTTCAAATTCTTAATGTTCAAAATGGAGGTAAAATGGGTATTGTGATTAACAAGTAAGAATTCAATCTCTCTAATTTCCTACCTCATGATCCTAATTAAAGTCGCTAATAACATGTAACTTCTTCGCATGAGTAATTATTTTAAGGGAACAATACATATTTAAGGTATTTGAAAGATACAATTTCAAAATTAAGAAATATATTTTAGAATTTCAAAATCAGGTCATAACTAAATTTTATTAATTAAATAAATAATTTAAACTATTTTATTATTTAAATATATTAAGGCCATAATGTTATAAAGTTTATGGTCATAATTACGTAATAGTTACAGTCTTAGCTCACAAAGTTTAAAGTTCACAACTTATCTATCGGTTACAAATTCATAGGTTAAAACTTATCGATCACAAACGATCAAATTAATAGAAAACGTATTATTTCTCATTCACGAATTATAAATTTTATAGGTCATAACTTATTTCACGATCACAAATTATCAAATTCTCGGTCACAATTATCAAATTAATTGATCATAATTTAACGAATTGTGAGTCAGGATTATATAATTAGTTGCAATCTCACATTTTTAGGTCACATATTATTTATTGGTGACAAATTATTCATTTTATTGTCACATATATTTATTAATCACTAATTAACCAATTTATTGGCTCGAATCTCCTAAATAATTTATCACAAACACTTTTTATCACATCCCCTACCCCCACCACGCTATCACACCACCACCACCACCACCAACAACCACTATTTACAAAATACTCTAAAATTACACAATAGCTATGCAATACTACACATGAAGGAGAACAACTACGCATGAAGTAGCGATGCCTAGCATGCGTGGCACTTAAAGCGGCAAGCGCTACTGTGCACTGATGACATCACAGTAGCAACTCTCACAACGTCGCTATCATGGTTGGTCACATTGTCGATGATAAAGAGATAGAAAATGGAACGATTCCAACGAAAGAGAGAGGAATGGAGATAGGTCACAATATTTAGCCCCTATTTGGTAGCAATTTTTCACTCCAAAAATTCAATTTTTTGATTGTTATTTCACTATTCCAGCCATCATTTTTGACTTCTTCACTCACATGTATGATCCACTTTTCTTTTTAACGATCAAAAAATCAATTCTCATAATCACTACCGAACAGACCTTTAATGAGTGTGGATGGTATGGGTGAGATGGGTTGGGTGATTTATTAATAATAAATTTATTTAATAAAGAAGAAAAAATTTATATATATCCTAGAAAATTATCACTATAATTCCAGAAATTGGCGCCAATCCCTGTATATTATTAGTGTCATAAAAAATCATTGTTAAACTAAGCATCATCAAATCGATTTACAATCGACGAGTGCATGATTAGCATTTTCGATCTCCTTATTTAATCTATCACGGTTGTGCTAACATCAACTTGTTAAAGTTAAAGATCACATCCGGTTCGGAGAATATTCATAAACATCTTCACATAGAAAATTTAATTTTGCTCGAAAGGTTACATTTGCTGTATATTTTAAACACTAATTATTGCACAAAATATTCTTATCATTTGCCCATTTTGCGAGAACGATCCCTATCATTTTAAAGTTTGTATTTACACCCCCATTTCAACATAGTCATATGCAAAAGGTTAGTTCTGTCACCTGCCATCCACTTGTTTTGTTAATTAGGAATGTGTCATACGATATAAATAATATCACTTGACAAAATCTATTCCCAACTCAACCATTAAAGCATTCGGTTGGACACTAGATATGTACATATGGGGGTAATTAAGTGTAGGAATGGTGAAATTTGAGAACGGTTTTGTGAGGTGATGGTTGGTGGATTGGCTTTGATAGTGGCTAAAAAAGGAGGCTGAATTCGGAGTAATGTTATGCATTATCACTGGCGTTATCTACCAGTCTAACTGGTAATTACAAGGTAACAAATGATATATTCATTTAAATGCAAGTTAGTTGACTCATTTAATTGAACCTATAAAAAATTTAGCCACTGAAATTGGAGCTGTAACATCACTTAAGAGTATATTCCTAAATTTGGTGTAGTGGGGATTTGGCTAGGATGGTTTGGGAAGAAGTTTTCTTTCATTTTCTTCATGTTGTCATTTTATATTTTATTTTCTTATTGATTTGAAGTGTAAGTAACAGAGCAGAAGTTTTGTGGTTGTAGGGTTGGTGATGGTGGTAGTCCAGCCAAAGTGTAGGTTGGCTGTGGGGCTTTGGAGAAGAACATGCTTTATAGAATTTTATTTCCTCTTTTATTTTTATTTTTTATTTTTATTGTTTTAATGAAAACTAATTGATAGGGGTTGAATGTATTGAAATTTTTGGCCTTCTAAATTATGTTATGTGCAGAGCGCGAGCCTATTTAAGTGAATGGCAGGTAATGGAAAGGACATTTTGCACAATAATATGTTGAAACGAGAATATAAATGTGAATTTTGAAATAGTTGATTTGATTATCGCAAAGAGGGTAAATAAAAGAAAATTTTGTGCCATGCAAAGTTGTATATTGCAAAACAGTTTAGTTTGTAGAATTATTTATTATGTAAAGGTCATTGCCTAGTCTTTCCCATTCTACTTTTGCTTGTAAAAAAGGATGGAAAGTGATCCGCCGTAATATTGTTTCAGAAATTGTTATAAATAAATAAAAGCATCTTAAACCCTTTTTTTTTCTTTTTTTTTTTTTGAGAAAATCATCCAAATCGGAAAAGTAACAGAAAATACAAGATCTTGAATTACCTAGGAAATCATATCAAGTCATGTATCACTACTTGAGGTTTATCATTCACTTATTTTGCCACATTTTGAAGCATATTCATTAATATGTTTTTGCGAACGATGCACCAGAAATGAGTAGAATACCCGCAACTTTGTAGAATTGTCAAGAAGAAAAATTCAGGCATTAAGCAACTCATCATCATCTTCAGCCGTAATTTCAACTAAATGCTCCAATAATTCATTGTCCTTCGAAGAAAATTGGTTCTCACATTGCAATAGTACTTCAGCTAGACGATCCGTTGCCCTGTATATTGTACCAAAAAACTCTGTGTTATTGTTCAAACTAACCTTACTTCTATTCTTGAAATTTTTTGATGCTTTGCCAACATCAACATCAAATTGGCAACTTGGAGAAGTTAAATTATACTTATCAACATCATCAAACGTAACCTCATTATGCTCTATTAACTCATCAATTTCATCAACCGAGTTAATCATACTATTTTGAGCTAAATGAGCTCGTTTCTTATTGATCTCCTTAGGGATATCAACCTCGTTCCCGGTGGCCCTATCTTTTGCTTAAATTTCACATAATTTTTCATAATTATATACGGGGCTTGTTCTTCCATTCTATAACATTTAGATTCGACTACAAAAAAAGGAAAAAAAGAAAAAAAAGATGCTTTTATGGAAGTTGAATTAAAACGGTGTTTGAGCCCTATTTTTATGGAAAAAAATGTATTTTAGAATTGTAGATTGAGGGAAAATGTGAGGTTGAAAAATAATGAAAAGTTTTATATTTACGTATAATATTATTTTAATGAATAATGTGTGATTGAAAATAAGAAAGAGAAAAACGTATTTAAAAAAAAATGGAAATCAAACAAAGCCTAAATAAAATAAGAAGCATTTTTATTCATATCAATATTCAATAAAAAAATTTGTTACTAAGAGACGAGGGATATATTTTATGCAAACCTTGATAAATTTGTCCCACACTTCAAGTTCAACAAGCCATGTTGAAGTAGTTTTATTATATGCAAAACCACTAGAATCCATCCTTAAGCACATCATGGCAAGCCGATTGATATTTTTCATGAGAATTTGGTTCTTGTCCTTGTCAATCCAATGTGTGGAAACTCTCTCATGTGCATAAGTTGTGATGGTCCCTCTTCCCCTATTGCCTTCTACATGCTTATGTAAATTAAAGCATTGCCTTCCACATTCTCATGCAAATAAGCTTTAATGAGAATATCATCCATTAATTCGGTCCAATGCAATTCAACTTTTGAAGGCATTTTTCTCCGGTAAAGAATGATTTACACAAAAATGTAAAATAAGAATGACTTCAAAACTGCAACAACTAATTTTACATATATTTTTTGCATACACTAGAAAAAAAATTTTTGTTTAGGCACAAATATGCGAAATTAACCAATAAAGAGCAACACGCCACTTATTTATTATTTCTAGATGATTAAGGTTAAATACAATTTAGCCCTAAATTAAACAATCACCAACATATATATCAAAAGTATAAAAAGTAGAAATTGATGATGGAGAAAAACCCTTGAAAAACTCTTCACAAGGATAAAAAAACATTCGGACTAACCTAGCCATAAAGATCCACTAACAAAGCTAACTTACA